TATATATATATATATATATATATATATATATATATATATATATTAGATATGTACATTCTATGTGATTTGGTAGTTATTATGAACCCAGGGTTCATCCTTAAGCAGGGTGAAAGGTAATCAGCTGTGCTCAGCTCCGCCCACTTATCAGCTCCTGCAGAAAGAGGTAAGGTGTAAATTAGAAACACTTAATTTGTCAAGTTTGTGCACACAGACAAGGAATTTGACTTCAGTTTTAAGCGCTCGTAGTGTACAGACCTCATGTTTAACTTATATGAATTTAGGGGATAAAAGAAACAATATGTACCTTTTATCTGAACCACTTTGGCCGTTGTTGTCCTCAGGCTGGTTCTGTGAACAGCAAGTCGGCCATCTGGTCTCAAACAGCTGATTGTTTTGCACGTGTTAAAAGCTGATATTCCAACAGGAGTTTGGCTTGAAACAGCAGTAAAGGCTGCCTGGTTGGCAGACTGTAGACTGATGAAGTCCTCTGGATGGGAGACGAAACTGTTCTCACTTAAAGAAACTAGTCCAGATGACACGATTTAACCTTTTTTGTTGTTATCTACCTGGATGATTGAGCTGACAAACCCTTATTTTTTAGTATGTACATGTATATACAGTACAGCCATATTAATACACTGAAGGAAAAGGAAAAGAAGGTATAGGTTGTGGTATAGCAATAAAACAGAAAACGAATAACGCATTCAGTAAATGTATCTTTCATCACAAGGCAAATCCTACAACTGAGTATTCAACCCCAATTTTTACTGCTTTTAAAGATTTGAAATGTATCCACAAACAGCTGGGTTGTCATCCAATCATCCATTTTCTAGAGGCAACAGATCCATGAGAGGAACCCAGACATCCAGGGGCTCCAGGCCATGGAGGATAAAACATTCGGCTAGTCCAAAATGAAACAGAAATAATTGACCCAATAGGAAAATACAAGTTTGCATGATTATCAGTCAAAATTATCAACAAACAGAACAAATGAAGAGGATAAAGCCTGTTTTATGTAAACATTTGTTTGGTAGCATCCAATTTTAAGCAACTGGTCTATTGTGCTGATGTTCAGTCATGTTTGTCTTCACTGGATCAAGCTGCAATATTTGAATAGATGCAAAGAACACGAGCCTGCTCTATAGGAGACCTGAAAATCTGTACAACGTCTGAAGGGAATCATTTAACTGATTAGCAGCAGGTGGTCTTAAGTTCAGTTTGCCAAAAGTTAGCAGCAGATGTTATGAGTCCACCCCGGGTTCATCTATGGATCTGCTTCAGAATGAGTCAGTTTAAGCATTTTTTGGTTTGCTGCTTCTTTATTCTAAATGCTTGTCATGTTTTAACTTTCATTAACTCGCCCAGCGCTGTTTTAGGCACTTTCTGCCAGTTGTATCTAATGCAGTGAACATTGACATTGACTCAGTGTAAGGCCTTTTCCTACTCTGCTCCTGCAGCCTGGTACACCTGGCAACAAGAACTGAAGTTGTCCACTCGAATTTCTTTAAGGGGTTTCAAACATTTGATAATGCCAGTAGAAAAATCAAAGCAAATATGTGCTTGTTTTTAGTATTTCACCCTGATTTATTGTTTCATACACGTTTATTTTAACTGCATTGTTACTGTAGTTTATTGTTGTCATTGTTTACTGTTATTAAAATAGCTTTACATAAAGATATAAAGTAATGTCTGTACTTTATATCATGTTAATCCCGTTACAAGTATAAATAAAGGTTGAATGAATAAGGAGTTCTTGCCTGATAGGTTCTGCAACAAAGCGATGTTCGTTCAGAGTCACATCTCGGTAGATTAACCGTTTCAAGAAGATTCCATATGAGACATTCTACAGATCTGGGCTTTGACGCATCAGAAAAATACATTTTTTAGTTTATATGAAAAGTTAAAGCAGGGGAGTGGGTGCACAGAGGTTTGAGACGGTGAGCCTGTGATCGGAAGGTCACTGGTTCGATCACACAGTGTCAAAAATGCGAGTGGGAAAGATGAGGCACGCCTGCCTCCACCCCTGCTTTCCCCTCTCTGGGCCCTTGAACAAGGCCCACCATCTGCCCCCCTGGATGCCCTAGATGGCAGCTCTCTGCTCCACACACAGTGCTGTGGTAGCTCAGTGGTCTGTGGTTGCATTATGGGTGTCCAACGTAAAAGCAAATGCCAAGTCTGTGCAAGTTCGTTCACTATGGCGACCCCTGAAGAAGGGAGCAGCTGAAAGAAGAAGAAGAAGAAAGAAAAGGGAGAATTAAAGCATCGTCATGAAACACTCGTTCTCCTTCACGTGTCAAACTTGTATTATCTGGAGACTGTTAAATCTAATAGAAATTAATTTTAAAACAGACGAGTTCTAAAATGCTCATAAGGCCAGAATACTCATCGGCCTTCTGTATTATAAAAGTAAAACGCTAAAGATTATTTTTATAATTTGATAGGGACATTTTAATGATTGTACTTGCTTGTGTTGATCATTATAAAAAAAGGTAATGATTGTGCTGCTTGTTGCATTTTATTTTAGCCACCAGAGGGCGCGCAAGATCAATAAATGAAAATCAAATGGATTTATTTCAGATTACAGCTTCTTTGTTCTAACTCTGTCTCAGTTACTTCTATAGGTGGCATTCATTCAACCTTTATTTATACAGGTTAATCCCATGTTCGTATCCATATTACCTCTAACTTTGTGAAGTATTTACCTCTCAGTGTCTGCTACAAGGTGATAATGTTCATTGCTCAACACAGCTTGGTGCACGTGAGGCCCTTTTTGAAAAAATATACAAATGTTCTACCTGTTAGTTTCATAAAGATTGAATTTGATCAGAATCAGTAGGAGAAGTTAAACATTTGCCTTCAGCTTGTTGCTTATTCCATCGAAAAGCTGCACGTTTACGAGACACGCGTGCATGTGTGTCTGTGCACACACTGGTGCGCCTGCTTGTCCTTGTCACAGTGTGTTTGTCAGGGAGTCGTGTTATATCTCGGTGCAGTGACAGCATCAGTTGTGCTTCCTGTGAGACATCAGAGATCATGTTTGTGGTGCCACCAGCAAAAGGGCTGCTGAGAGCCAGTGCTG